CCTACATATAGGACACCAGCTCAACCAGGTGAGCTATAGCAGCGGCCCTAACATGTAAGTGAAGTTAACGTGTCCTCGTCTTTTAAGTTTCTAACAGATTTTAGTGGCGAAGCAAGTGTTGGAAAAGCTGGAAGCGGTAAAAGTCTTTCCATACATATATAGAAAACAAGTCAGACTCCACGACCGCCTCACATAGAAAGTTTATTAGTTTCAAATTAACATCCACATGATGAATCGCATCTGATAAGTCGAGGCTTCACAAAGTGCTTTTACAGAAATTAAAGTGTTTTAGTGGTTTAATGTGCTTCAGTCTGCCAGCTTGGTTCAGACTCATCAGACTCATTAGGACTTGATTTTATGGCTTCAGAGGTTTAGTGGTAAAACATTTAAAGACATGATAGACGTGTTTGATGAATTATTGCTAAAAAAAAAAAAAAAAAAGTTCAGAGGATCTTGACGTCGAGCAGCGAGACGTCGCCCAGCACCTCCAGCTGGTCGATGCGGATCAGATCCTGGACTCGGTGTTTGTAGTCCAGCTGGTGGACGCCGTTGACGGCGACTCTGAAGTGCTGAGAGTCACACAGGATGATCATCTGCAGGAGACATGGCGGCAGGTTAAAGGACCACGCTGCTGACTCCACAGAAATAAAAACTGAAACAGTGGAAAGAGGTTGAATTCATCAGTGGGTAATGTTTTCAGATTATTTACAATCTGTGGAGTTTCTGGAGTTGTCAAAGTACAATGTTTAAATTGTGGTGAAGACAAACAAAAGCAGCAGCAGAAAGTCGGTTTAGTCGCCCAGCAGGGCTCAAAGGTCACCTCAAAGTACTGTCCTGCTGCGAAGGGGAAGGAGGCCAGCTTCGTCTCCTCAGGGCCCCAACACCCCGACAGGAGGGAGTTCCTGATGAAGAGCCCTTTCTTCACACGAGGGTTGAGATGAAGAGCAATGTCGTTGCCGCTCGACACTCGCAGGTTCACACCGAAACTGAAACACATTGTTTTAATTTGTCACATGAAAGGAAAACGCTGGATATTTGCTTTACCACCAAAAAAATAACTCCCCATGAACTATTTCAATATAACAGTAAGATATTTTACTTTAATTTGTCCCCCAAAAATCTTGTTATAACTTCATGTAGCACAATTGATGAAGCAGTTGATGCTTTTAAACTGAATGTTCTCAGTGTTTTCTTTGACTGAAGCCACAAACCTTTCTATGAATATTATTTAGAGAAACCTTGCAGTGTTCTAGATATCTATATTAACTTTAGTTCATGTAAACATAAACTGTTCAGGTGCCTCCAAAAGAAGCAAGTTTGTTTGTTTTTTTTAAACATGATACATCAATTAACATCCATCCGTAGGTGTGAATGTGAGTGTGCTTGGTTGTCTGTCTCTAAGTGTAGCCCTGTGATAGACTGGTGACCTGTCCAGGGTGTCTCCTGCCTTCACCCTGAGTCAGCTGGGATAGACTCCAGCCCCCCACGATCCTAGTGAGGACTAAGCGTGTATAGATAATGGATGGATCGCCAGGCAAACAGAAGTGTGCAGTTGAACTGCAACCACAAACTTTTTAGTGTCTACAAACCAAACTCTGCTCATTCTCTCTCAGTCTTTTAAAGAGTTCACATTGTTAAATGCTAAATTAAACCACTTAAATGGATTTTTATCTGAACTCTGAATCTGAACAGAGCAAAACATCTGTTGACTTTTGTTTCATGTGATAAATATTTAACTGACTTCAGGATGAATGAGCTGCTATTAGACTGTAAAACAGACAGACTCAGCCTGTAAACCAGGACTTCAAACATCAAATCAAGATTAAATCAACAAAATCCAAAGTCCAACAAAGTCTTACTTTCACTAACATTTTGTTGACTGATTGGTCTGATCGGTTTCTATTGGTGGCACCGAACAGGATCAAAGCACTGATGACATCACTCAGGTGTCGTTTACCTGTGTGCGTTCTGATTGGTTTCTCCTTTGACTACAATGCTGCGTCCCACGCTCAGCCCTTTGAGCAGCTGCCCGCTGAAGGGAACGCCCTGCACAGAACCCAAAGTCATTAGACACGTTTCAGAAAGTAAAATGTCCGCTGATGGCTGGACTTATTGATCGCACAAACTACAAACTAAAGCTGTGATGATCAATCAATTAGTCCATCGGCACAAAAACAACCATTTAGTGAAAAACTTCAAACATTTTCAGCTTCTCAGATCATTACAGATCAATAATCAATCAGAGCAGGATGGTTGACGGTTCAGTTAAAATGTGTCAAATGTATTTATATCAATGAGGAGCATGATGAAGTATTATCTGACATTTTTCTAAACAAGATGATTCATTGATCGATCGTCGTATTTCATTTTCTACACAGTCATGCAGGGAAACAAAACGTGTATTTTATGATGAATGGTTCTCTTCAGTTGTGGGTGTTTGACACTGATCATTACACTGGTTGGATCTGATACAGAACCAGCAGTCGAGGACCAACGAGAAGAAGTACAACTCACCAAGTCGCCTGATGAGGAAATGATCTGCTGCAATGGGAACAAAGAAAATCGGATTAAATGCAAGAAATGGAAATGATTTATGTGCAGCATCTTACTATGAATAAATACTTTAATGTAGCTAGAAACAGTCATATTAAGGCAGTTTGGATGATTCCAGCTGCATTATTATTTATCATCTGTTCACACATTAATAAACATTTAAAGTTGTGCTATGGTCAGTTGGAGGATTGCGGACTGTCAGGGAGTTAAATCTGATATATTTGATATATTTTGTTCACAAAAATCTGAACTTATGTGCTTGTTCTGTCTGGATCTGGAGCTTTACGTCCCTGACCTGCAGCCGTTGGCCTCACCGACCCCCAAAACACTTCATATTTATTGTTCCGCTCTATTGCTGCTCTCCATCTGCTCTCCTGTTCCCCCTCATCCCCACTTTCTTCCAACCGGTCGAGGCAGATGGCCGTCTTCCCTGAGCCTGGTTTTGCCGTTGCCAACTGTTTGCTCAGAGGAAGTCCAAAGGCTACTTTGGATTGTTGGGTTCTCTGTTTAAATGTGTAAGGTCTATACTTTACTATGTTAAGCTCTGTGTGAAGACATATGTTGTAAACTGCGCTATACAAATAAAATTGAATTGAACTGAATAAAGTCAGTGCAGCTGTCAGAGAAAAGACATTTCTTTCCTCCCTGAATAGTACAAAGTGGCCTGAGGTGGAAACACTCCAATCAACCAGCACAAACAAAAGAAAATGTGCCAATCATACATTTATTCAGTCACGTACATAAAACTAGTGAAAGAAAGTTTCTGATTGTGTTTCTGAAGTTTTATCAGGTTACATTACATTTAAAATGTTTCAAAATAAAAGCAATAAAAGGCTGAAAAATAATTTTACATTTATTTCAACATTTTATGACACTACTGAACATTTGGGTTTTTTGTAAGTTTAATAAACGTCCTGATATGGACGGTAAATGAAAGGAAGAGGTTTGGAAAACTGCAGTTTCTGGTTAAATCTAATCTAGAAGCTGGTTGTAACTGATGTTGATTTATGTAGAAAGAAAGAAAGAAAGAAAGAAAGAAAGAAAGAAAGAAAGAAAGAAAGAAAGAAAGAAAGAAAGGAAAAAAGAAAGAAAGAAAGAAAGAAAGAAAGACCTGTGTGATGATATTTCTCTCATAATTTAAGTTAAATTGATTAGGTGATCAATCTGTTGATCAAACGAACATTAGAAAGAAAGAAAGAAAGACCTGTGTGATGATATTTCTCTCATAATTTAAGTTAAATTGATTAGGTGATCAATCTGTTGATCAAACGAACATTTGATGGCTACAGCTCCTCCTTACACCCCCTCACCCCCATCATGGACATCAACACCTCCCCCATCTCCCTGCCTGAGTGTTTGCAGCAGTCAGGTCAGGAAATGGTAAATGGTCTGCACTTACATAGCACATTTCTACCTTAGTGGCACTCAAAGTGGAGAGGGGCGGGGCATTGAACCGCCAACCTTACAATCAGAGGACAACCTGCTCTACCACCTGAGCCACAGCCGCCTGAAGCTGAGCGACTCCACCAGAACAAAACTGGAATCAGCCTGTAGAGCCCAGATACGTGAGCGACTGCAACCACTCGTCTACCTCAGCCTGAGCCTGAAATAATCACTTATCACCACCTGGAATTTGAATTTTATATAAAGTCAGAGGTCTGGAAAAACTGGCTTTTAAATCCGAGCTGGAAACATTTTCTAACTACTTTACCATCTGTTTTATGATCAAACTTTCAAGTGATATGACATTAATATCATCAAAAGGTTTTTATCTCTGTAGTTTAGAACGCTTCAAGCTCTCAGGTCTGACAATTTGTTGCTTCTTCTGGTCTCAAATTAAAGCAAATGCAATATTGTGGGATTTCTTGGAAAGTCAGCTGAACAAAACCAAACATCTGATTATACTGTGATGGTGTATTTGACTGATTTCTAAAAAACATTGTATCAAACAAACAATTAATTTGTAATGAAATAAAAAACAGAATTTTGCTGCAGCGCCAGTTTCTAAATAATTTAATTCAATAATTATTAAACACAATCTGGAATGTGAGTTTCATAGAAAGTCAGCAATCTGGAAAAACTGCACTATTGTTAAGTTGCTGTTTTTTTTTTTTTATTGGGAAAGCTGAATTAAAGCTTTTCAAGAGCTTTCAGGACCTGCACAGTCGAAAACAATTCAAACATGAGTTTGTTCTTACGTTCATCTCTGAGTTCTGAGAAGTCAGACTGGCAGCAGGAGAGACGGCACTCTAAACACAAACAAACAAACAAACAAGTTAAACCCCCTGAACAAACAAGCTCTCTCTACCACATACTGTTGATTAGCAGACAGACTCACTGAACTCGGGGCCACGATGCCCACAGCCTGAACTTTGACCTTTCCGGACATGAGGATGGTGTCGACTCGCTCCAGGTCCATCCGGTGTTTATACTCCAACACATGAGCTCCGTTCACGGCCACCTGAACGACAAACAGAGACACGTTGCAGGACTCGAGTCTTTATCTGAGCTGACAGTCGGATTCTGTCAGACGTTTAACACAATCAAATTACTTTTAAAGTATTTAACAGCTGAAATCACATTTAGTGTGGCATAACATCAACATGTTTGTAGTGACTGCTGGCTTCAACAGTAAAAAATGTCCAGTTTTACTGATCAAAGTTATTATATTAGTACCTTTATCTACACACAAACTACTTCACAAAATATATTTTACAAAAGCAGAAAACCTGCTGCATACCAGACACCCACCAACTCTCAGATACACAAAACAAGACAGTGCTATTTGGTGGTCAGGGGAGTAAACAACAACAATAACCATACCTACATTTTTATTTTTTAAAACATTTTTTAAATATATTTTGCTGACTGCATTAGGGATCCACATCCAGGGAAAGTCAGATGATAAACGCTCAGTGGAGGTGGACAGAGCAGAGCAAACATGAGACATGGAGGCACAACAGACACATCAGTGAGGAACACAGCAGGATGAACGAAACCAGTCTTGTTGCTTGTGGAACCATCAGAATGCTGGTTAATGTGCTGCAGAGAGCTGCTGTCCAGCCAGTTCTCCCAGTATATTGCCCCGGAGAGCTTCTGTCTCCCTCAGAGACTCTAAATTGTTCGGTATTTAAATGTTTTATCAAATTTCTGGTTTTATACAAGACGTTTGTCCACCTTCCTCTTCACAGTTTAGCAGATTTGTCACTTCACTTTTTTGGAGCAAAAATCACCACTAGATTAACATTTCTGATTAACAGTTAATCCACAGCAATGTTCATGCAAAGCTACTGAACATTTCAAGGTTGCAGCTTCTCAAAGTAGACTATTTATTGCCTTTTCTCATCTTCCATCGCAGTAAAGTGACTATTTAGATTTTTTAGAAGTTGTAGCAAGCAAAAGATTGACTGCTAAATGACAATTAAACGTTTAAAGCTTCAGTGATTTTTTTGGGGGCAGCAATGTTAAGAAGTTCTACTCACTGAGTCAGTTCATGTCGTGAATAATAAGAAACATTTTGATCTAACAGAAACTTTCTTTATTGACTAATCCAACAATTATCTCCTTAATTCACAGCAAGTTTGTCTATAAATCATCAGAAAGTTGTGAAAAACCTTCAAACTGATATTTCTTACTAGTGTTTGGGGTTAAAAAGACTAAATGAATAGTAATAAATGTTAGCTACAGTCCTAATAATTTCAAAAATCATTAAACGCATCCTTAACAAGCAGCAGGATGGAGATTAGTCAATATAAAACTATTAATTTCAGATGCATACATGCCTTGTCATAAAGTCAGAGGTAACAGAAGAATGACGAGAGATTTTCTGACAGTTTTTGCTATTTAGGACTTTGTAAATCATATTTAGGACGAATGACTCATGTGATGATGATATCAGAGACTCCCTGACTTCCTGCTCAGATTTCAACACTGACATCATGCTTTATAGAGAATCTGAGCGGTGCAGATACTCTCACTGATGCTGTTGGTCACACCGTCCTGCCTCGGCTCGTCTCTCACCTTAAACTGGTCTTTCTGGATGAGGATGATGATCTCAAACGCGGCCCCAGCCCTGAAGGGCATCTGGTACAGAATTTGCTCTCGGCCCCAGCGCTCCTTCTGCAGCGTGTTGCAGACGATACACGACTTCACAAGCCTCGGGTTGAAGTGAAACGCCACGTCGGCCCTCGGCTTCACGCTGCTGCCACACGTGAAATCTACCTGAAACCTGCAAGACAGCGAAGTGGGCAACAGTCCAGGCTTTAACCTTCACACATCAACGCACAAAAACTGAAGAAAACTGCTTAATTTCAGACATGTTTCACGAAATTTTAGACTTATATGTGAAGTCTCTGGATGGTTTTAAGGTCTCTAATGTTATTGGAGCCATTTTTAAGGAAGAATGCCAACATTGTTAAGCTCCAGCTACTAAATGAGAATTATTTGTGCTTTCTTCAATCCCCTGTGAATGTAAAACGAACATTTTGGAAACTTTCTGAAGGTTTGTTGAGCATTCTTGGATAGTTATGAGACAACCAGTTAATCGATTAATCAAGATACTAATTGTGAGACTAATTAATGATGAATACATTTGTCCTCACCTGTCAGCATCAGACGGCACTGAGCCCTGGATCACAACCATCTCCCCTGGCTGCAAACCACCCAGGATCGTCCCAGCGAAGGGAATCGACTGTGGACATAAAATCAAAAAACATCTGAACATTGTCAGGTAACCAAACTGAACATCTGGAAACATCTGACAGAAAAGAAGAAGATTCAGTTTGAATTCAACCCCTATGATTCACCTGCAAATTTCGTATTCGTTTTTTTCTGCAATAAATCCACTAAAATCTACACCTTTATTATAATCTAAACACAGGAAAGTTCATATTTTCATATTTTGTCACCAGTGAGTTTCACATTTTATTAGCAGAGAGAAAAAAAACTAACCCTGCAAAAACAGGAAGCTGTTCATTTAACCTACTCTCTCTTATTTACGCCAAACTCCATTACAATTTAAGCGTATTTTTAAATTCACTCGCGTATTTTTACAAGCAAAAATCGAAATTGTTTAACTCCAGTTAGTTTCAAAAAGTCCAAGAATTCGGTCTTTAATTCGGCCAACATGAAACTCACCCAGCTCATATGGACTCAAAGAAAAACAAAATGAAATGTAATTCTGAAGTTTTCCTCAAAGGGTCAGAAACGAGCAGTTTGAGCCGAAAGCTTGCCACAAACGTTAGAAAAATAAAGTTTTTTATTGGATGAGATGTATGCCGAATCCACGAGGAATCCTATCCAAATTGAGAGAAGCACTTTAGAGACGTTATAGAAGAAAATCCCACGTTAAATATTCGTCTTTTACTTTGTTGATTAAGCAGCAGTTAGCTGACATGCTAGCGTGCATGTTAATCGAAAAATCATCGACGAACAGTCCCTTTAACCTTAATGGTGACAATGAAAATGGGTCGAAACTGATGATAGTGATCAGAACAAACACAACAAGCATCTCACCGGGTTTAGAAAAGTCTGTCTGGGGTTTGAAATCGACATTTTGGCGCAGAAACGTTGCGATCAGCGGCTTGTTCGTTTGTTTACTTCCTAATCAGACGTCAGCACGGATTACGTTTTAAAGGATGAGACGGACCCGGAAATACAACCAATGCGCACGCTCACATATAATTCATTTAAACCACTAAAAAAAATATCGTTTGAGACGCTTGTGAGTAAAATCAGAGAGGTTTAGTTTTTACTGTTTGAACTGCTCGTTTTAAACTAACGTGTTTCAGTGCGTCGCGGTGACGCTGCTGTCCGCTCCTTACAGACTGCAGAGGTTCAACAAGACACCAGTCTTGTGGTTTCAATAATGATTGATTTTCTCCTCCCAGTTTCCTAGAATGAGGGGAAATAATCACGAGAACATTGTGAGTTTATTTTAACCTCCAAGAAGATTAAAAAAAAAAAAAAAGCTGTGGGAACATTCCTCATGTTATCCATTATTTAGCATCACTAATAAACTGAGTTTATAGCTGTTTATTTTTTTTTTACAAACAACAACAACAACAACAACAATTAAAGCCGCAAGCCCCAACTTCCTGTTGGGGTTAGGGCTTGGTGCTGATTGACTTTTTTGTGCGTCCTGACCTGCTACACATGCCCAGCGAATCTTCGCACCCTTTTGGGTGCTCGGACCCTAATAATAATAACAATAATAACAATCCACAGATGATATTAAAACATGGATTAACAACTGGGTGAGGCTGGCGTCTTGGCACGTCAATCCTGAATAATTTTAGTTTATTTTGAGCTGTATTGTTATCTTGATGAATTATATCACCCGACTCCGGATAAAGCAGTAGAAGATGGATGGATATCACATTTACTACACTAAACATGTTTAACCTCGGATGTCCTGTTCATATGGTTGTCTTTACATGTGCTCTACTGTTGCCAGTGTTCTTGTAAATAGGGAATCTTTGGATTCACAGGGTTTGTTCAGTTTGTAGAGTCCCAACTTTAACTTTTAAATTCTTTAGGGAAATTAGGTCTAGAAATGTCAGTTCTATTTCTTTACTGGAAAGCCCTTTGGCTCAACTGCTGCTTTAACTATGCAATATAAATAGCATTTTCACTTTTCCTGCAACTCAGTCATTTTTACATTTTTCCACTGGTTCATCCTCAGCAGCTCATCTGAAGCTCACCAACCACTATGTTTGGAAAGTCCAAATGTAAAAGTAACACTATGACATTATGAGCGACTTTTTACTGAAATAAAGTTTTGGATACTTAAAAGTGACAATCTCTAAATGAAATTCAGTAATCAAGGTAAAGACACAGTGAAGAGAAGCATTGACACTCACAAACAGTGCATTTGATTTTATTAGAAAAAACTAAACAACTGTACACATTTTACACAGTAAAACCTAAAACACCAAAATCTGAATTATATAAAACAACTGATTGTATAAAAACAAACTCTACAAGTTAATGTACAAAAGTATAAGCTGAACATGGAGCAGGTAGTGATCCAGGACCGACCAGTTTATCTGCTACCTGCTGGCTTCAGTCTGAGGTTTGTATTTTGTCTCCACGTTAGCATGTTTTTTGGGCTGCGGCACTCTTCCTGTCTCTGCTCTCTGATTGGCTGCACGGTCACAGTGAGTGGAGTGAAGCGAGTTCAGAAGGAGCAGCTCCTGTTTGGAGTTTTGCTCTAATGAGTGAGTGATTGTCCGTGGTCCAGCTGTGAGCTCAGAAGTCGGCGTCCAGCCTGAAGGTGTTGTCTGTGGGGCCGGACATGACGCCCATCCTCTGGTACTCGCCCACCCGCTTCTCAAAGAAGTTGGTCTTTCCCTCCAGAGAGATGTTCTCCATGAAGTCGAAGGGGTTCTCCACCCGGTAGATCTGCAGACAGAACACAGAGAGAACAGATGCTTTATTCTCCGTCAGCTCCAAACAACAAACACCTGCTGCTTCCTGCTCAAGACTTTTGTAAGACCACAGAGCTCTGATGTAGTACTGTGATAGTACTGGTATAGTACTGTTGTAGCAGTGGTGTGAGTCCAGGTGAGCTCAGTCAGGCGTCTGTGTCGTGCTGCTGCTGCTCTGTCAGTGAACCACTCGTCCTCTGATCACAGCCTGCAGCAGCACTCAGCCCCCATCATCGGCTGAGGTCCGTACCCCTGCGCTTCTCATCATCACACACCTGCTCGTCGTCCACAACAAACCACAACAGCTGGAAGTTCATGTGCAGCTCTGGTCTGAATGAGGAGCAGCACAGAGCAGCTGTATCTGGTTCATTATGGCAAAAACACCTGGATTCATTCAGCTGTGACTCTCAAGCGTCTCTGCTTGTTGTTTCCATGTTGGACATCTGCAGGTTTCATCAGCAGATCAATCAGCTGCAGCTCACTGATGTTACTTCAGTCTGGATGTTTCAATCACGTTTCCTCACGTTTCATTACTGCTAATATTTCTGGACATTTGTTCATATTGTTCAAACATTCAGCCCTCAGTTCAAAGAATTTGTAAAGAATCAGCTTGAAATGTGTTTATTTCAGCTATCAATCAATAATCAATAATTCAGAACCTTCTCAGGTTGTGACCAACAGCTGATCTCAGACCTGATCTTTAAATGATCAATTACGTCAACAAAACTAAATGAGATTCAATCAGAGATGTAACAAAACAGACAGTTGTTAAAGAGCTACTTTTTGGTTTGTGTTTGATAACAAACAAACTTAAGATTTTAAACTTCAGAGACATCAAACTATCAATCTTTGTACCAAAAGAGTTGCATTAACGATAATGCTTTAATCTGAAAACTGGACCTTTCTTCTGATGCTACACTTTATGAACACAAACGAGGTGACGAAGAGTTACAGAGTTAGATTAAAGTCTTACAACACGTCATTGATGAGCAAAAAGCTCTGTTTAATAGAGATGCTATGGCTTAATCAGGAATCAGTGTGAACGATGAGAATTCACAGATCAGCCTGACAATAAAAAAACTAACTGCTTGTTACTGTGGGTTTTAAAGAGCTGAATGTTTGCGACCTGCAAACACTCATCGTCATCATCATGATCACATGGATGGAAGCAGCTGAGCAGCCTGCAGCTCTCACTGGAAACCAATAAATCCCAGTTTGTGTCTCTACACAACAAACAGCTCCAACAATCTCAGTTGCCTCCTTCTCGTCTGAAAAACATCACACTGAGCTGAGCTCATGGTGCAGATGTGACGCTGTAACTCCTCGTGTCTCCGTCTGGATGAATGTGAGGGTTTAAAGAGCTGAATCTCTGCAGACGCTGTAACTCATCCAGCTGCTGCAGATGAAACCCTGCAGCTGTTGGTGGAGTCACAGCTCAGTGACTCAGCCCAAAAACTAAAACTCCTTCTGTTCCTCCAGCAGAAACACTTTGGCTGAATT